GCTTGAGTAATAATAATTTTGATGATAATGATAATGATAATGATAATAATAACCCTTACGTTTTTTGATACATTTATAATTGATCTTTGTTTTTATTAATTGATAACTATTACTTATTATACAGAGAATCTCTCAATGAAATGGCAATTGCAATTAATGTTGTGAATGTTGTATCACCCACAAGAAACAACGTTTCAGCTCCTTCATCAATGCCTCAGGGCACAATAAATCACACATATCATAATAAACCTGAGCCTTCTAAACAAACTCAAGTTCAAAATTATAAATTAATGTTGGGAGCAAAAAGAAAAGTGAGAAAAAAAGCCTTTACTTTGAATGATATCATCATCAAATATTCAGAGTGCATCTTTTTTAACATCTTGTTCTTTTCTTAAAAAAAAGCAATTAAACCATGCTGCATCGATATTATTGTCAAAAGCCGAAAAATATGAGCAAATGGTTTCAAAGGAGCGCACTTTTTGGACCGAGGCGTTATCTTTGCGCCAGAAAAATTGGAGTATTAAAGGATATGGTAAAAGTGGTGGTCAATTATTTGTTGATTATGGTTATAAGGAAGGTAAGTAATGAATCAATTTATGTATATTTGATATATTGAAGGGGAATTCATTCTTATAATCTTTAATAATTAGCTGGCTCCCTTTATGAGGAAAATACATGGGCGCAAATTCAAAGAACGCCAAATGACAAGCAAATCGCGATATCGTTTCCACCTATACGCAAAAGAGTAATGAAATTACGATTAGAGCGTAGACTTCATGGATTTGATGATCGGATGGATACATTTGAATTAAAACCATGTAAGTTGTATTTTATGTTACTCCAATTTCAAAATATATGCGATTAATATATGTATTTATAGCACTCCGACCTGAAAAGATTAGTGGGTCAAATATGCATCAACAGCTGTTGGCTGCTCAATCGGCAGTATTTGAGAGCGAACTGTTCGATAAAGTATATAAAAAAAGGGGAATCTCGTAATTCTCTCCCAAATCAAATTAATTAGTATCGAAATTTACTTGCTAGATGATCCAATCATATAATAAATAGTTACGCATTATTATTATATGTTTAGATTCTGCTAGAGGCGAGCTCGTTACTTGGCGTTAAAATGATCGAGAACGAGATGCTAATTCCTGTTTATGATAATGTAGATTTGACAATTCAGTGGGTGAGCATATAACTATATCATTATGGTTATTCCTTGGTGGCAATATTTTAACCTCATTCTCTATTTTATTTTTATATATATAGACAGATGCTAATATTCAAGAAGGATCTTTTCTTGTATCGCCCGAATTCGATCAGCCTGCTTATTTAAACGAATCTTCAACATGTACAATATTAAAAATTGCCATGAATCTTTTACTGCGCAGGCATCATAAACAAAATTTAGAAAATATGCAAAAAGAGGTATTGAACTCCGGGCAAGAACGGTAAATAAAAATTTAAGTCATTTTTTTCACTCATTCGTATTCATTAAATCAATATATCGGTAACTAAATGCTTAGGATATATAATGAGGCTCAAGTTCTGACACTTCCCCTTCATTTGCTGAGATATCATTTCTTTTGTAATAAAATTCGGGAAATAGGAAATCGTATAATAAAACCTTCAAGGGATGGTGGTATACCAGTTCAATTACATTTTATTAATAGTCTAATTAATGGACAGGATATTCTCGATATCGTCTTGAAAACGAATACTATTGACGAGGAAGCAACGTTGTTTGTAGGAATGATGACAATCACTATTGATAGAAGGCAAGTTATTATTATCAATATTTTTTTCTTTATTTAAATTTGTTAATTAATATGATGTGTATATAGAGATAGTCTACGAGTTACTCTTGAATCACCGTGCACAGCTGTTATTCATTTAGCACATAGTGATCTCCGAACACAAGATTTACATCAGTTTGCCATGTTCCTAGAACGTGAATTACGCTTATTACTTTTGAAAATAATTCATAAAGAAATCAAAGCATTATCGTGCATTAAGAATAGTGCATGGGAAGGCATGTGGACTGTGGATCGTGTAATGTTGGTGATTGTTCGTCCTATGCCACCTGTTTTGACTAGTAAGCAGGCAGCAAAACATCACGGAGTCAATTTGCGGCGAAGGAGAATGACGTAATTTCGATTCATTTATTCATTCTTCAGTCATTTGTTAATTAAAATTCCAACTAGCCCATTATCTTCTTTGATCTATCATTAACATAATTAGGGAAATAACTATTCGTAATAACTATCCAAAACCCGGTACAATGGCAATTTGTGTTTCTTCTCCTGGTAATGAAACCGAATTAGGAGTAGAACCGATCTTTGAAGAATTGGTGATAGGGGACGCGAGTATTTTGGGAATTAACGCAAATTCTAGACGTGACTTTGCAGATCGAGTCCATGAATTTTTAATTGGAATGGTTTAATTTTGTTTTTATTTATTTGTCTGTTTTCAAAACTTTTATTGAGATACTGCCATAATCAATTAGATTGCATAGACAGACTTGTTCTTTTTAATTATTTATTTATAAAAGAGAATACTTGACATTGTTTCACTGGAAATTATATCCTCTGCTTTTAATATGTACTCAGACGCCCAAATTCAACAACAAATTAGTTCCGGATTTACTAGAAGGCAAATACATGGTATTTCTAGAATTTGATAAAGTTGTAGCAATATACTTTGATGCTTCTATTCGACGCAGCTGCACGAGCCCTTCTCCACCTTTTTCTAATGCTTCCACAATTTTCCCTGCAGCTTCTGCCTCACCTTCTGCTCGAATAACAGCAGCTTGTTTCTCTTGTTCAGCCTATATATATATATATATATACACACACACATATATCCAAACAGAGAGTAATAAGTGAAAAAGATCATTCATTATAAGAATCTTCATAATTGAAATAATTACCCTTTCTACAATGAATTTTGCTCTTTCGGCTTCTTGCTGAGCAATTTGTTTCTGTTCTACTGCATTGGTGAATTCTTTACCAAATGTCATGTGGGTCTGATGATAAAAAATATTGTTAATATTGCTAAATAATTTAACAAGATAAGCTTACATACGATTGACACATCTTCTAAATCGATCTTAAATTCGCTGGCTCTTTTTACAAGATCTTCTCTTATTTTTGAAGAAACCTAAATTTAAATAAATATTATGAATCTGACAAAGAGAAGTAAAAAAATATATTTTTCAGATTAATTACCACTTCACGTTGCGTGATCAATTCACTAGCGTCAAACTGAGCCACCACCGACTTCAGCACTTCATTCCCAATTGACGGCAAGACTCTTTCATCATAATCCATCCCCAATGTTTGATATATCTCTGGTAAGTGTCGGATGTCTGGTCGATGAAGCACGCGCAGAGTAAGACTGACCATTTGCATATCTTTTGATCCAGTCGTGGTCGAGATATTTCGTGGCTTGATGCGTACATCATAGAGAACAGCTTTTTGTAACCAAGGAACTAGAAAATGTGTCCCTTCACCAACTGATTTATCTTTTACTCCCTTGATTCGATCAAATATTACCGCGCGAAATCCTCCCTGAACTATAATAATCAGATCACGTGTTATTACAATCGTTTATTTTCCTTGTGGTTTCATGTTTTCCTTCTCATAATATTCACCATCATAAATGCTGTATTGAATAGCACTAGCCGCCGCGCCTATCGGTATTGCGAATTTTGCAATTTTTTCTAAAATGTTGGCCATTATAAAAATTTCAAAAAAATTTGGTGACTCATTGTTATTTGATGTGAAAGATCGACATAACTCGGCCAGCAGTTATATAATACAAGATTGAAATTATGGCGCGCTTATTTATATGTACGCGCGTTCATAATGTTAACAATAATAGCGCATAGTTGCACATTAAAACCCTTACCGTTTGGTGTTAGGGTTTTTCAAAAGCCTAGATTTTCTGCGTTTACAAGTAATAATAATTTGCAAATTAACGAAATTCGTCTTTGTCAACAATTACAAAAGCAACAGAAACAACGATGGCAATCAAACATGGCTTCAACAGCATCAGTATTAAATCAACTGTTTTCTTCCGAATATAACAGTCTCGAGAACGGTGACAAAAATATCGCACAAGCTGACAAACCGAGTAGGTGTGGTTTTAGATCAAATAAATCAATGATAAACGTGTGGATTCTTTAGTTCTTTAGTTGTATCGATAAAGCGCTGACCAATGTCCATCTAATTGAGTGGCTGCGAAGGCACTTGAACGTGTTTGCGTATGTGTATTTTAGCTTGTTATTGTTATCCTTGAAAGTTTTCCTCAATGTAAACTATACAGCAAAACTCCTGCCTGGTCAGCGCTTTTAGATTATTCTTGAGTCTTGTCAATATTTATTGAATATTATTTTTGTTTTCTTTTAATATTTAGGATTAATAAACGAATTCGGCGTAGAAATGCTCCCAGACTGGCTATACAAACAAATTTTTCAGCGAACAACCCGCCCCAAAATGTCTGAAGAAAATATACGACTAGCCAAAGACCACTTAAACAAGCAAGGACTAGCCGACAAGAAAGCCGACACTCTAGCTGCACTACAAGAATTCAAATTGCCCAATTTGTGTGGGAGTACAATTGCCGAACATTTTTTACGGATTGGCGAGAAACAAGCGAGGCCTGTTCGTGAATTAGCGATTCAGTTTGCGGGTGTGGTGTTACCAGAGATGCCGACAAAGTGGGAGCGTAAGGCTGGTTGGACGCGGTATACGGGGAATGGTAAAGATCCGGAAAATGTAGACTATCCGGACGAAGAGCTTCTGTGTTTTGATGTGGAGACGTTTTTGAAGGATAGTCCGTTTGCGTTGATCGCTATTGCAGCTTCGCCGAATGCTTGGTATGCATGGATATCGCCTCAATTAATTGAATATACAAATAATAAGAAAAAGTTATCGAATCAAAATGTTGACTCTGCAAATAGCAATAATAAAGGGCGCCTGATCCCTATCGGTAATATTCAGAAAGATCGAATAATAATTGGTCATAATGTTGGTTTTGATCGAGCACGTATTAAAGAAGAATATCAACTTGAACATTCAAACACATATTTCTTGGATACAATGGCGCTACATATTGCTGTAAGTGGTCTCTGCTCACATCAGCGTCCCTCCTGGATAAAATATGACAGAGCATCAGAAATGAAAGATGAAATTTATCTAGAACAGGCACAGGATTTTCAAGCAATCTACGACGTAAGTTCTTTGAATAGTTTACGGGATGTCTACAAATTTCATTGCTCTAGGATTTTGGATAAGTCGACGCGTGATATGTTTGTCAATGGTACTATGGAAGAGATTAGTGATCCGAAAAATTTTTCTGCATTAATGAATTACTGTGCGAATGATGTACTTGCTACACACAATGTGTTTAAAAAAGTGTTACCGCGATTTTTACACACGTGTCCGCATCCAGTATCATTTGCTGGAATGGTTCATATGGGAAGTATGTTTTTGCCGATAAGCAGTGATTGGGACAACTACCTGAAAAAAGCAGAAAATGTTTTCCAAGAACAAACCAACTTGATCGAGAGTAGTTTACGTCAGTTAGCATTAGCTGCTGTGAAACTAAAGCCAGAGGAAGCAATGAAGGATCCTTGGCTTCAACAATTAGATTGGACGTTTCCATCCTCGTTAAGTAGGAAACTTCCCGATAGACCAAATTGGATTCGTGAGATTTATAATACAACAACGGCAAAGATCAAAGTAACAGTTAGAACTCGTATAGCACCACTGTTGCTAAAACTGAAATGGTTAAATTATCCGTTATACTTTTCTCAAAAGCATGGATGGATGTATCGAGTACCTAATGAAGATACTCAATATCAAATTAAAGCTAAACATTGTGAATTTAAAGAAAATCCCGATGCGCCAGATTATGAGGAACGCTTTGCCAAAGATAAAAAAGCGCGGTATTATAAAATACCGCATAAAGATGGAGAAGCAGCCAGAGTTGCGACCCCCTTAGCGAAAAATTATGTATCGGCTTATGAGAATGGGATTCTGAATTCTGAGTACCCAGAAGCTCATGTTGCTCTTAGTATGAATGCTGCATGTTCTTACTGGATGGGTGCAAGAGATCGTATACAATCTCAGATGACGGTGTATCAAGGTCATCCTGATATCAAGGATATTGGATTTGAAGTGAAGGATGGGAAATTTCCGGGAATGATTTTACCACAGACTCTAACTATGGGTACTGTAACTCGCCGCGCCGTTGAAAAAACATGGATGACTGCAAGTAACGCAAAAGAAAATCGAATTGGATCTGAATTGAAAGCAATGGTTCAATCACCTAAAGGTTATAAAATTGTAGGCGCAGATGTAGATTCCGAAGAATTGTGGATTGCTAGTTTAATTAGTGATGCACAATTCGGAGCTCATGGATCAACAGCCTTAGGATGGATGATACTCCAGGGTACAAAGGCAGCAGGTACAGATTTACATTCTAAAACCGCGTCAATTTTAGGGATTTCTAGAGACAACGCCAAAGTTTTTAATTATAGTCGAATTTATGGCGCTGGATTGAAATTCGCGACTCAAATGCTTCGACAATTCAATGAGAATATCGAAGAGGCGGAAGCACAAAGTCGTGCAGAGGATTTATATAGGCAGACAAAAGGCGAGAAGTACTATCCTGTAAGAAATGCTAAAACTTTCTGGTATGGTGGCAGTGAAAGTTACATGTTTAACACCTTGGAAAACATCGCTATTAGTGACAATCCTAGGACCCCTGTATTGAAGTGTGGCATAACAGACGCACTGAACTCGAAAATTGTTAATCGTAACTATATGACCTCTAGGATTAATTGGGTCGTGCAATCTTCCGGTGTTGATTATCTTCATTTGCTACTTGTCTCGATGAAATATTTGTCTGAAAAATATGATATTTGGGCAAGATTTATGCTTTCTGTGCATGATGAAGTGAGGTTTCTTGTTAAAGAGAAAGATGCCTATCGAGCTGCACTAGCATTACAAATTAGTAACTTGTGGACTAGAGCTATGTTCAGTTATATGCATGGAATTGAGGATTTGCCTTTGGTAAATATCATATTTATTTATACTTTTTGAAGTAAGAATCATGCGTAGAAAATTATTTTAATATTTAATTCTCCTTCAAAAAAGTCAGTTGCGTTTTTCTCGTCTGTTGATATTGATCATGTACTTCGTAAAGAAGTAGAAATGAACTGCAAAACATCGTCGCATCCATCAGAGATTCCTCGTGGTATTAGTATTTCGATGCAAGATATCTTAAAAAAGCAGAAAACATTATATCGTGAAGGTGATGAAACAAACAACGACGAAAATAACAATAATGAGGACGTAGCCTTCTTAATGCATGAAATACCGAGTGACTACGCTAAACTCTTAGAGCAACAACATTCATCGAAAAATGATGTATTTCTAAAGGCACAATCATGCACGAGTAGAGCCGAAATTGATCAAGAGTGTCAAAAAACGCGTAACGAAAGTTTGGAATCTAGAAAAGGGCAGTATTATCAAAATCATGTAACACCATCATCATCATCATCACTATCACCATATAATTATTATGAAAATCGAGTAGAGCACGAGCCGATAAATTGGGCACATTCGCAACGAATTAATAATCAACAACAATATAATAGTTATACGGATAATGATAAGTTTAATAACACAAATTCGTTGCCACAACAAATCAATTATAATGTAAATTCATATTCTGATTCTTATAATAATAATAATAATACAAATAATACTAAGAATAATACGAGTTCACACGAACAATATATTGCTAATAATATGACGTCACGGTCGCAACAGCAATATATAGGTTATCAATCACAGGACAGTACGACGACTATAACGACGACAACTACGACGACGACGACGACAACGACAACGATATCACGAAGGCCAAAACCCAAGATGGCATTCACCACGGCATTACCACAAAGGCCAGAGACCAAGGCAGTTCCTAGATCACATCATGAATCAAATGAATTTCCCTCGGCATTAGATGTATTTTCTAAGGCGCCTTTTAATGACTCATATTTTATTGGCTTCTCAAAAAGGAACCCAAAGAAATCCACAAAAACATTGGTTGATAAATAATTTTTTTTGTAAATAAATAGATGAGACATTAAATTTTTGTTCTTTTATGTTTTACGTGACTTGAGTAACATACAATTAGCACTTGAGTGACATTTATCAGCTGATTTTGAACAAGCCACATTTATATTCGTTTGTATTTTTTTGGTCATAAATACGTAAGTTCTAATGTTTGGCTTGAATTGGCAAAAGACAGACGAAACTGTCGCGAAAAATCGTGTCAGTACTGCTTCCAATAAAAGCGCACAAGATAATTCGGAGTCCCTTGGTTTTGCTGATTTTCAAATGCCTGACATTGAGGAAAACATTGATTCTAATGTCGAATTTACTGACGCGGATCTCGTGGACCCCGCTCTTTTGGTAAGATATACGCTCTTGTAAAGATTTCTTAAATTTTTCTCGACTAATCTTAGTATACTTTATTCACAATTAGGGTGAATTGCAAGCTTTGACCGGAAATACTGTTGCTAATACTTCGAAGCTCAAGCCTAAAGAGCGACCAAAAACTGTTCAGACAACACCAGCAGCTGCGCGACACATTGACATCGAAGCTATAGAAGCATTAGGCAGCGAAGAAGACTATGAGGCTGAGGTGGAGCTCACAGAAGATGATCTAAAAGATCCCACATTGTTAGTACGTTGCATTCCCATTTTTTCCGTATTTCAAAATAGTTATTATCATCAACAAAATTAACATGTTCTTTTGGCAGAAAGAATTACATGGACTAGGAGGACATCAGGGTGATAGTAGTGAAAATGAGACACATAAAGATATTAAAACAATTGAAAGTCCGGTTGAAAAGCAAACAAAACGAGAAAATGTTTTGGTGACTCGTAGCCCACCAGCTGTCGATAATAATAAAACTGTGAATGAACAAAATCAGGAGAACTCTGACTCTTTAGATAAGCGGAATTCATCAGAAGTAGCTACTTCAGCATCTTTACAAGAGACGCCGTCTATGACCATAGAAGAGAAGCTTAAGATCGATGATCCTGTCATTTTGGCAGGATTGATAAAACAAGAAAAACTTGATGCAGTTCTTAAAAATCGTGCTGGAGATAAAAAAGGCGCTCTTGAATCTGTGAAAGCTTACAAACGATTAGAAGCAAGACACGAAGAAATTTTGAAATCTTCGGTCGCCCAAGTTAATGCCACATCTACAACAGACAATGAAAACAATGCTAAAGCGGATAAACTTTCTTCAAGTCAAATCGAGCTGAAAGAAAATACGATAAAAATAGAAGCCGAAAACAAAAGTGAAGTTTCCTCTCTAAAAGAGTCTCAAAATACGGATTTAATACATAAATTAAAAGATCTTCAACAAAAATACAAAAACGCTGCAATTCAATTTAAGAATTCAAATAACATCCCAAAGGCAAAAGAAATGTTAACGATTTCTCAAGATATCTTAAAAATATACGAAAATTTAGAGAAAGGGGGTCAATTACCAGATGGATGGACTATCCCTGCCGAACCTGATCTATCAGAGTTAATTAATTCACCAAAGACTTCTTCCGTTCCTAAAAAGATAACAGTGACACCAAATATAAACACACCACAAAATACAGCGGTGAAAAATCCATACATAGATGAAACTCCTTTGAGCATGGTGAGATATAACTTTATTTCTTGTGAATTATCACGTTTAAAAATGAAATAAAGAAAAAAAATTACAGAGTTGGAAAATGATCCATTTGGATCATAAATATACTAAAAATAATAACTTATCCGAAATAGAACCTATTTTTTATGCATTTTAGATGTCCAAGGAACAGCAATATGATCGCTTGTTAGCACATCTGCAAAATCAAATTTCCTCATGTACCAACATAATATCTGACTATCAAAAACAAGGCGACAAGAGTAACGCAGCTCTTTTCTCACGCTATAAGAAAGAATTCTCTTGTGATCTAGATTCCTTGACATCATATAAAACCCATGGAAAAGAAATACCAGCATTTCATTTTCAACAAATTCAATACAATGCACAAAATTGTTGTTATGACTTGAGTGAAAATGAATTAGAAGTATGCATAGAACGTGCATTTAATTTGGGTAATAAGGAAGTGAGTGGCAGAGATGTTGAAGCCTATGTTAGTTGGGATATTGGATGGCCACCTGAAGGAAGTTCTGGCGCGGGAAGTGGGAAAGGTGATACTTCTGTTGCAAAACGAGGAATCGATCCAGGTAAAATTTCTATTCAATGCATTGTATAATATGTTCATCTATTATTAACTTTCTTTATTTTATATTATAGAATTCAACTTCAAAAAAATTGTGTTGATTGATCGTAATGCTCGATTTCAAAAACATTTAGAACGTAAAAAAGCTCTTTTTGAAGTTTTCCATTATAGAGGATTTTTAAGAAAGGCGGTATCTCTTGGTAAAGTTCAGGTCAAATTGGATCCCCTCAGAGAGAAACCAGAGATACATGAAATTGTGGATGTAAGATTAGACTTCATAATCGATTTTCGATTATTTTTTCTGTTGATGCTAAATATATTTTTCTTCAAAACTAGCTCGTTGATTCAGGTCGACGCCTTACGGGTGGTAAATTAGAAGTAAAATTACGCGTCAGAAGACCGATATCAAAAAATGAGATCGTCACCAAAAATGTAAAATGGCTTATTATTGATGAATTTAGGGCAGATGACTCTGCGTTTTCAAATTTGAAATCTCATAATTCAAAAGTGTCCGTGCAACAACAATCACCATCAACACCAAGTAAATCGAATCCCGATTTCCTGCAATCGGAAAATCCACAAATTTCTAACAAACAAAAAGCAACTACAACGATGAAGACTTCAAAAGATATAAATAACACAAAAAATAATCAAGTCACACCACAAAAACATTCTAAATCAGAGTCTTCTTCCGCTGCAAATCAGCCCAAAGGTGAAGATAGGGAACTGGAGCAAGCCGAAGAGGAATTGAACAAGTAAGAACTTTATATTTAGCGATTACAGTTCTTCTAATCTTTATTAACACTCTTCATTGTATATTGCAGCGTGGACAATCTAGTATCGAATCTTGTTCTCGAACAGGAAATTAATCTTGTTAATAATCAAATTGCTTCTCTGCAAGCCCAACGCAAGCCAGTATCTGACGATTTAGTCGACCGCAAACAAGCATTAGAGATCAAAATGAATCTTTTGATCATTCAAGTACAAACTGGGCAATTAACAATGGAAAAGTATTTGGATCAAGTGAAGAAAAGTATTTCAAGCTTCAAAAAACTTGCCCTCTTTTTTAAACAAGCAGGAAAACTTGACGAAGCGAAACGAGCTCTTGCAAGGAGTAAGATCATGGAAAAAGAGATAAAAGAAGTTGAAGAAGCAATGGCAAATGGTGCTTTGGAAGAGTAACTTTCATCATAATTTTATTTATAACTTATGTGAATAGACGGTTGTATTATAATGTGTGGGTCTTAATTTATATGTAAGCATTGATAAATCTTAATCTTCTACAATTTAAGAATATAAATTATTGATAAAGTTAGAATTACATTGATTAGACCAACCGATCGGTCACTCAACTCGTACAACATTGAAATTAATGACTACTATAGATCTTCGGTTACTTGTGCTGAAGAATTGTCAATTTTTCCAGATTCGATTTCGTCAAATTGCGGATTTTTAACATCAGAAACTATAAGATTTGGGTCTGCAGGAATTTTTCCCGATTCTATTTCGTCAAATTGCGGATTTGGGTTTTTCTCATCAGCAGCACTGAAATTTGATTTCTTTTCTTCCATACTTGTATTGCTATTACCCCTCGTTAAATTTTTGCTATACTCTTTTACTATCCTTGCGAAATAGATCTAAAGGCGTTTGATGAGAATTGATTTCATGTGTGAAGTTCAACTAAAAAATAACAATTTTTTTTTGATTTACTTACTAATAATGTAATGCGTATGAATATTATCTCTACAAGGGACCAAGTCAAAGATAAACGAACTGATGTGTTACAAGCTGTATCGACTTGTTGAGGTGTTGGTGCGTTAGGATCATAAGGAACGGTGACAGTACTTGTATTTGCTGGTATCAAGACCACCAAATCGCTATTGCAAGTTCTTATTATATCATTTCTCCAGACATATGCAAGGATCAAATCTACAATGTGCAGACTCAATAGTATGGATATGGCTAACCAGTATAATTGCGAAAAACGTCTAACAAGATTCGTACGTTGCTGATGCAGAATTAGATAAAGGATTCTTATTTGCACATGGAACGCTTTTAATTGAAGGAAAATTCAAGGAATCAAATGAATACCGAATTCGTTGCATATACCCCAAAAAGGCCTATTGGGGCAGTTATTAGGAAAAGAAAGCCGTAAAGTATCTCCATGCCTCGGGATACGTGTGAATTATATACTGAATAATTCAAAAAAATTGTTAAAAAGTCGAGAGAAATTCTTTTAATTTTACTTTGATTTCATACCTTCAATCCCAGAGAAATAACCTATAGCAAACCACACGCTATGCAACTATAAAAATTAAATAAGGATTTATAATTTCTTCTAATAAACGAAAATTCGTTTTATTT